AACCCTGACCCCATTTTTGGGGTTTCCACCTCAAAATCCTGACCCCGTTTTTGGGGTTTCCCCCCAAACCCTAACCCCCGATTTTGGGGTCTTCCCCCAAATACTGACCCCCTTTTTGGGGTTTCCCCCCAAAATTCTGACCCCCATTTTTGGGGTTTTCCCCCCAATTCCTGACCCCGTTTTTGGGATTTCCACCTCAAAACCCTGACCCCATTTTTGGGGTTTCCACCTCAAAATCCTGACCCCGTTTTTGGGGTTTCCCCCCAAACCCTAACCCCCGATTTTGGGGTCTTCCCCCAAATACTGACCCCCTTTTTGGGGTTTCCCCCCAAAATTCTGACCCCCATTTTTGGGGTTTTCCCGTTTTTGGGATTTCCACCTCAAAACCCTGACCCCATTTTTGGGGTTTCCACCTCAAAATCCTGACCCCGTTTTTGGGGTTTCCCCCCAAACCCTAACCCCCGATTTTGGGGTCTTCCCCCAAATACTGACCCCCTTTTTGGGGTTTCCCCCCAAAATTCTGACCCCCATTTTTGGGGTTTTCCCCCCAAACTCTGACCCCCATTTCTGGGGTTCCCCCCAAACCCTGACCCCATTTTTGGGGTCTTCCCCCCAAAATTCTGACCCTAATTTTTGATGTTTCCCCCCAAACCCTGACCCCGTTTTTGGGGTTTTCTCCCCCAAAATCCTGACCCCATTTTTGATGTTTTCCCCCAAAATCCTGACCCCATTTTTGGGGTTTCCACCCCCAATCCTGACCCCGTTTTTGGGGTCCCCCAGGTTCCCGCCATCTCCTTGGCCTACGAGGCGGCCGAGAGCGACATCATGAAACGGCAACCGCGGAACCCGCGGAGCGACAAGCTGGTCAACGAGCGGCTCATCAGCATGGCCTACGGCCAGATCGGTCAGTGGTCACTCATGGTCACTCTGGGGTCACTCTGGGGTCATTAGTGGTCATTCATGGTCATTGATGGTCAGTCAGGGGTCATTAGTGGTCATTAGTGGTCATTCATGGTCATTGATGGTCAGTAATGGTCATTCATGGTCATTCATGGTCAACGAGCGGCTCATCAGCACGGCCTATGGCCAGATTGGTCAGTGGTCACTCATGGTCACTCTGGGGTCACTCTGGGGTCACTCAGGGTCAGCCGTGGTCACTCTGGGGTCACTCAGAGGTCACTCATCAGCGTGGCCCATGGTCAGATTGGTACAGGTGGTCCTGTTGGGTTCCATTGGGTCCATTGGGTCCCGTTGAGTTTCATCGGGTCCTGTTGGGTTCCATTGACTCCCATGGGTCCCGTTGACTCCCATTGGGTCCCGTTGACTCCCATTGGGTCCCGCTGGGTCCCGTTGTCTCCCGTTGACTCCCATTGGTTCCCACTTGGTCCCATTGGGTTCCGTTGGGTCCTGTTGACTCCCATTGGGTCCAGTTGACTCCTGTTGGGTCCTGTTAACTTCCATTGGGTCCTTTTGGGTTCTGTTGAGACCCATTGGGTCCCGTTGACTCCCATTGACTTCCATTGGGTCTTGTTGGGTACCGTTGACTCCCTTTGGGTCCCATTGGGTCCTGTTGGGTTCCGTTGACTTCCATTGGGTCCCACTGGGTCCCGTTGACT